TATAAACACAACTTTCTTGGTTATTATCCCAAAGATTGCTGGAGCTCGTAATATAAAAGATTTCAGACCAATTAGGCTGGTGGGTAGTATTTATAAACTGATCTCTAAAGTTCTGACTAAAAAGAATGTCCAAAGTTTTGGGTGAGGTTATTGGAGAGAACCAAAATGCATTTGTGGAAGGAAGATAAATCCTTGATGCTGTTATAGTGGCTAATGAGGTAGTTGATGATATGATGGGGCAGAAAAAAGAATGCATCATTTGTAAAATTGATATGGAGAAGACTTATGATCATATTTGTTGAGATTTTGTTATTTATATGCTTGAGATGATGGATTTTGGGTGTAAATGGAGGAAATGGATAAAGAATTGTATATCTACGACCTCTTTGGTTGTGATGATGAATTGTGGTCCTTCGTCTTTCTTCAGGGCGTCACGGGCCTTCACCAAGGGAACCTACTGCCACCCCTTCTTTTTCTTACTGTAATGGAAGCTTTTATCAGGCAGATAGAGAGAGCTGGAGAGCTTGATCTGGTGAGAGACATACTGGTGGGGGTTGGCGATTCTAGGGTGAAGATTTCTCATTTATTTTTTGCCAACGATGCACTCATCTTTTGTGAACCGGAATTATCCTCTTTGCTTAATTTGAGATGTATTTTAATTTGTTTTTAAATGGTGTCCGGGCTGAGAATCAATATGAGAAAGACGAAAATGGTTAAGATGGGGGATAGGAGGGATGAGTTGGAGATGGCTAAGGTGCTGGGCTGTAAAATCACTTCGCTGCCCATCAAATATCTTCAGATTCCCCTTGCGGCAAAATTTAAAAATGATAGAACTTGGGACCCGATTGTGGAGTTGGTTGCAAGGAGGCTTGCGGGTTGGAAGAGGAGTTTTTTTATCTAAAGGGGAGAGGCTTACCTTAATCAAGAGTACGTTAGCTAACCTCCCAACCTACTATCTTTCTATATTAACTATTTCGGTTAACATTGCTTCAAAGCTTGAAAGAATCCAATGCAAATTCCCTTGGGGTGATGATGATGGTTATAGAAAATATCATTGGATAAGATGGGAGGAGGTGAAGAAACCTATGGATAGGGGCAAGCTTGGACTTAAATCCATTCATTTTGGGTTTTAATGTTGCACTTTATGGGAAATGGCTATGGAGGTATTGTAATGAGAATGACAAACTTTGGAGGAATATAGTGGAGGTGAGATGAGGGGACTACTAGCGCGATGGCGGGAGAAGAGAGAAATACAAACCGCATGGGATGAGTTTATGGAAGAAAATTAGTGGGGAAGGCAATAGTTTTCGGGATTGCATAGGACGGAAGGTGGGGAATGAAGAAAGAGTGAGGTTCTGGCAGGATGGATGGGCAGGGAATTTCAAAATGAAAAACAGATTCCCTAATATCTACAATATTGCTAGTGAGAGGAATATTACAGTGGATAAAGCATATGAGAATGCTGATGGGGGAAGGGGGTGGAGTGTACAGGTTAGAAGGAACTTGCAGGACTGAGAAATTAATGAATATTGTAATTTACTCAACGTGCTGACAGAAATTAACATGGATAATCAGAAGGATATGAGGATATGGAAGTTGGATGAGAAGAATGGATTTTCGGTGAAGTCCTATTACAATTTTATAACCAAAGAGGACAATGGAAATAATATAACGGCCCCATTTAGACAAATCTGAAAAATTGCAGCCCCCCTAAGATGGCTTTTTTTGCTTGGGAAACCTCAAGAGGAAGTATTTTGACTATTGACATGTTAAAGAAGCGAAGCAACATCCTTATTAATCGATGTTTCTTATGCAAGACTGATGAGGAGACATGTGACCACATCTTATTATTTTGCCCGGTAACTCATAACTTGCGGATGTCGGTGTTCAGGTTGATGGGAATGAGATGAATTATGGCGGGTAATGTAAGTAATAATTATAGGCTTGGGCAAGTATTTGTAAAAAGAAAAAATATTTATTTTTTATTC